CAAAGGCCTGCTACGTTTTTGCTTCTGCTAGAGGCCCAGGCTAGCTTGATCTCGTCAGATCTTGGAAACTGAGCAGGGTCAAGCCTGGTTAGTACTTGGATGGGAGACTACCAAGGAAGATCAGGGTCGCTATGCAGATGCAGGCAATGTGGCAAACCACCTCTGCTTGTCTCTTGCTTTGAAAACTCTAGAGGGTCACCATAAGTCCCCAGTGTGGTGTAGTGGTTAGACTAGGATCTGAGAGAACTGGGTTCGAATCCCCGCTCTGGCTTGGAAGCTTGAGGGTGACTTTGAAGTACGTAAATATATAATCACATAAGTCAGCTGTGACTTGCTGGCACTGTCCATCACCAGAGGAAGCACTGGATAAGTTCCCTGGCATCTAACCCAGGAAAACACCTCTCCTACCGTGGTGGATGGATTTTAGCTCCCTCTAACCGATACCAGTCAAATGGTCAGCCAGGCTGAAGCAGCATACCCATGTTAGGAAGGCCAGCGGGCTGGTGCCTTTTGGTCTCCCTAGTCGCTTCAACATAGCAGTGATTTTCTGTGGAGCTCTTGTTACCACTGCAAATGCAGCGGCATCCACTGCAGCCATGGAACATCCACACAGCAGGTTCCACCATATATTCCCTAACTCAGCCTCTCCTCCCATTCCACATTGGCCATTCCCCCCACCACCACCTTGTACCATCAAAGCACTTTAAAAAAATTGTCAATCCTCAAAGAAATCAACCCTGACTGTTCCCTGGAAGGCCAGATAATGAAACTGAAGCTCAAATACTTTGGCCACCAAATGAGAAGGGAGCACTCACTGGAGAAGACCCTGATGCTGGGAAAGATTGAAGGTCAAAGAAGACGGGGACGGCAAAGGATGAGATGGTTAGACAGTGTCATCGATGCAACGAACATGAAATTGAGCCATCTTCGGAGGACTGCAGAAGACAGGAGGGCCTGGCGGGAGATGGTCCATGGGGTCGCGAAGAGTCGGACTCGACTGTGCGACTGAACAACAACAAATATTGCTATATTACTACAGTATTATAACGGGGGATAAAAGTAGGGCATGAATATTTATTATAATGCTGTAGCAATTACTGGTTATTTTTTAAAAAGCCCTCTGATGGCATTGGCTAGAAGCTGTGAGAGGCTGAGCCAAGGAAAATGGTGCTGCTGTAAGACCTCCGAAAATGCATACCTTCCAGCCCACCCAGCATGCAAACATGATCTCTCCCAAAAAATTGTATCAAACCAAGTTCAGAAGAGATCAGAAAAAGATGGTAAAACATGTAAAAGTGGATGATTGGGGGGACAAGATCATGTAAATCCCTCCCAAAAAGCCCGATCTTGTTTGGATGTCAAATCGAAGCAAAACCCGAATGTAGAAGCAAACCAGTGAGCATCTCAGTTCCTTTCCCCCAGCAGCCTGTAGGGGGAGAGACAGCAATCTCTGACCACTGGATTACCAACATCCTTTGGGTAGGAGAGGCATCTGTCCAGGGTACCAAAGTGAGGGGTTGTAGCTATGATGGATTTATGGGGAATTGTGTGGAAAGGCAGCAATGGAGGCTGCCTTAGCCAATTTTCTGAGGGGGCAATAGTTTTGCTCAAGGCTATTTTTGGGCAGGAACACACAGGAACGGAGTTCCGGCTGGCTCCCAAGTTGGCCACGCCCAGCAGGAACTCATTAGCATAATAGGCCACACCCAACCGCAGAAACTCATTAGGATTGGCTACAATTAGGGGTGTGTGTTCCTGCTCCAAAAAAAAGCCCTGGGTTTTGTCAACAAACAAGGTAAAGAGAATAAGAAGAAGCAAAAGGTGGGTGTGGCTGGGTGACCACACTTCTGGTAACATGGGGATGTGGCCTAATATGCGAATGAGCTGTGCTGTCAGGGGTGTGACCTAATATACTAATGAGTTCCTGCTGTTGGGTATAGCCTAGTATAGCTTTTTATGCAAAAAGAGAGGGGGGGGGGGGGGGATGACTGCATTATTGGAGGAGGCAGATCCTGGTATCCTAGGGCTAAACTAGGCACAAGAGGTATACAATTAAAGTCGTCTTTCTTCTGAAAGCCGATTAGCAATTCCAGGATGGTGTTTTGAAGATGTGGGAAGGCATGGGGGGGGGGGGGTTGTTTAACCCTTTCCTCCCATGCACTGTTTACGGTATATTTATTTATTTGACTTCTAGACCACCCTCCCCTGTAAGCAGGGCTCAGGGCAGTGTACAACACTTCCAATACAACATTTGTAATCAAGTTAAAAACAATCAAAACCAAAACACTAACCAATACAATACCAGTAGCAGATGGCACTTAAATAGACCAGGTTGTATCTTTACTCTGTGGGGGGAGGAGAAAAAGAGAGGGAAGCCAGGCTAGATGGAAGAAACATCGCTGTCCTCAGTTATAAGCCTGGTGGAACATCTCCATCTTACAGGCCCTGAAGAACTGTACAGCAGAATGTTGTACCTGGTCAGCACCAGGGCCAAAAAAGCCCTGGGTCTGGTTGAGGACAGCCGGATATTTTTCGGGCCAGGGATCATGAGCAGGTTCTTTCCTCTTTGGTGGGGGGGGGGGATATATCATTTGGGAGGCTTATTCCTTCAGGGCGCTCCCGGCGACGAAGCTCACAGGCATGGAGTGTGCCGGCTTTGTGTGGGAAGCCAGGGAGAGTTTGGCTGTCTGGCTAGTGTACCGTCCACCCAACGCTATGGTCACCTCGAGGTTGAACTACTGTAATGCTCTCTACATGGGGCTGCCCTTGGGGCAACTCCGGAAGCTGCAGCTAGTACAAAACGCAGGGGCCAGGCTGTTGATGGGTCTCTCTATGCGGTAGCACATCCAGCCTGTGCTAAAGTCGTTGCACTGGCTACCAATAGAGTTCTGGATTCACTTCAAGGTGCTGGTTTTGACCTTTAAAGCCCTTTATGGTCAGGGTCCTGCCTACCTGAGGGACCACCTTTCCCCGTATGTCCCCCAGAGAGCACTGCGATCTGGTATACAAAACCGCCTGGCCCCCCCTGTGCCTAGGGATGCCAGATTACATAAGAACATGAGAACATAAGAGACGCCAATGTTGGATCAGGCTAAAGGCCCATCCAGTCCAACACTCTATATCACACAGTGGCCAGAAATACCAGTGCCATCAGGAGGTCCACCAGTGGGGCCAGGACATTAGAAGCCCTCCCACTGTTGACCCCCCCCCCCCAAGCACCAAGAAGACAGAGCATCACTTGCCCCAGAGCCCCTATCTATACCTTGTGGCTAATAGCCACTGATGGACCTCTGCTCCATATTGGCGGTGACTAGGACCAGGGCATTCTCCCTGGTGGTGCCGACGCTCTGGAATGAGCTCCCCAGTGAGATCAGAGCGCTGTGGGACCTCCAGCAATTCCGCAGGTCCGTGAAAATGGAGCTTTTTTGCCCAGCGTTCTTGTAAGGATCGATTTTATCGGCTGCGCTGCACTTGCACTTTGTTATACAATACCGCCACATGTAATGGTTTTAACTGTATTTATTTGGAATTTTATTGTATTTTATCTATGTATTTGCTGGTTTTAGAACTGTATGTAAGCCGCCCTGAGCCGCTTCGGTGGAAGGGTGGGATAGAAATCTCACACACACACACACACACACACACACACACAACCTGATCCGGTATTCAAGAACTCCCCTACAAAACTGCAGTTAATTTTTTTTGGGGGGGATAGGAAGCAATAGATACAAGTTTTGTATTTGTCACCCAAGGACATAAAAACCACTGCTTCTGAAAGAGGATGTTCCCTTGGTGGTAGCCATTGATGGCAGTCCCCATTGACGGTCATCGCCATGATGGAATTCTCCAACATGAATCTGTCTGTTCCCCTTTTTAAAGTTGTTCACACTAAAGGCTATCAGTGCACTCACCGGCAGTGAATTCTGCAATTTAATTACTGCTGGTAGATACAGTTATGGCCGCTAGCATGGATGGTTTTAAAGGGGGATTAGACAGATACCTTCCCTCCCCATGGAGCCCACTGCCCATCTGAATTTGTGTGGGGGAAAATGACTAGGAGCAATAGTTTTAAACCCCCGTTTATGGCAACCCTTCCCCAATCTTTAAATCTTCAGAGCTTGTGTATATATTCTAATAATAGATTTCTTGTGTCACATCTTGCTTGAGCTTTAGGGGAAAACATAACAACATATGAGGAGTCATGGGTCGATCAGGCCTGTGGTCCATCTAGTCCAGCATCCTGTTTTATAGCAGCCAACCACTTCCTTGGAGGGTCAGCATATAAGGCATAGAGGCCAAGGTCTTTCCCTTATGTTGTCTCCTACTGCTGATATTCAGAAACTTGTTGCATCTGAATGTGGAGGTTTCCTTTAGTAATCCTGGCTGGTAACCATAGATAGACCCCTCCTCCATGAATCTTTTAATGCCATCTAGTAACCTTCACTAGATCCATCACTAGAGCCAGTTTGGTGTAGTCGTTAAGTGCGCGGACTCTAATCTGGGAGAACCGGGTTTGATTCCCCACTCCTCCACTTGCACCTGGCTGGATGACCTTGGGCAAGCCGTAGTTCTGATAAGAGCTGTTCTTGAAAAACCACAGTTTCTGTCAGAGCTCTCTCAGCCCCACCTACCTCACAGGGTGGCTGTTGTGGGGAAGGGAAGGGAAAGGAGTTTGTAAGCCGCTCTGAGACACCTTTGGGTAGTGAAGGGCGGGGTATAAATCCAATCTCTTCTTCTCTTCTTCTTCGTCATTGGCAGTGAATTCCACTGGAGAAAGTTTAGAAGAGTAGGTTTTCATACTCCACTTTTCTCTACCTTAAGGAGTCTGAAAACGGCTTACAATCACATTCCCTTCCCCTCCCCACAACAACTTAGCCTGTTCCTTCTAATGGATTCCAATGTTTTGTATGATATAACTCTTCTAGCTTTAATAAAACTGTTAGTCACACTAGCACAGTCAGGCTTTAACCTCTCTCTCTCGTCCTTCCTACTTCCCACAGCCCCATCATCATCGCATGAACAGCAGCGTGCCACACGCCCCGCAACCAAAGAACCATTTCGACGATCCCTTCTTCATCGTGGAGACCATTTGCATTTGCTGGTTCTCCTTTGAGCTCCTGGTGCGCTTCCTAGCCAGTCCAAGTAAGCCGGCTTTCTTCAAGAACATCATGAACATGATTGATTTTGTGGCCATCATCCCTTACTTTGTAACCCTGGGCACAGAATTTGCTCGGCAGAAGGGCGTGGCCCAGCCTGCCATGTCCTTGGCCATCCTCAGGGTCATCCGGCTGGTGAGGGTCTTCCGAATCTTCAAGCTCTCCAGGCACTCCAAAGGCTTGCAGATCCTAGGACAGACGCTCAAGGCCAGCATGAGGGAGCTTGGATTGCTCATCTTCTTCCTCTTCATCGGAGTCATCCTCTTCTCCAGCGCTGCCTACTTCGCCGAAGCTGATCACGAGGATACATCCTTCACCAGCATCCCTGCAGCCTTCTGGTGGGCTGTGGTCAGCATGACGACCGTGGGGTACGGTGACATGTACCCTGAGACTATGGGTGGCAAAATTGTGGGTTCCTTGTGTGCCATCGCTGGAGTCCTCACCATTTCCCTCCCCGTGCCTGTCATCGTCTCCAACTTCAGCTACTTCTATCACCGCGAGACTGAGTGTGAGGACCTGGGCCAATACACCCACATCACTATGTGCCCGTACACCCCGCCGCCATCCCCGGCCGCCATCCGGGAGAAGGCTCATCTCATGGAGAAACACTGCAAGGATGGCGTGGAGCATTCAGAACTGCTGGATGGCGTGGTGCCCATGGGCAATTCAGAAGCACCCAACAAACGCCTGGTGACCCAAGTGTGACCATCCAGTCCAAGCACCTGATCCCCGCACCCCGCACATAACTTTCCTTGCACCTCTACGTCTTAACTCTGTATAATAGGACAATAGATTAGCCCGTACGGGTTGGTCTCCTGTTGGGTCTAAAATCCTTGGAGAATAGCAACGGGTTTGGAGAGAACATATTTCCCATCAGGTTTTTGAGAGGGAATTGGAGGGACGACTGTGTCTAAATTTGGGATGAGGTAATGGCACAGTGCACTGCCCCTGAAGCAGACATGGCAGGGGGGAGGGGGAACGGTGCCTCTGGGAATCATGTGGATCCTGTTGCAAGGAGACAGTTGCATAAACACGCACACACACACACACCCTGTTGCTCTGCTCCTTCCTCAATTGGTCTAGGGTGCCCTCAGTCTACAGAAAGTACTCCCTCCTCTCCTTTTACTCCCTTCTCTGCCTGGTCACCCTCCACCCTTCTGTGACTCAAAGAACCCTTGGCATGAAGATGCCTCCATGAAATCACAGCAATGTGTTCTTGGGTTACATCTGCTGGACCGCGCAATGGAACATACCCAGAGCAGACCAGGCCCCAAATAGCAAGAATTGGGGGGGGGGGATATA